CGTGATTGGGAAAAATTCATATCTAAGAGATAAAGTATCTCCATTTCAAAACTAAGAAATAAGTTTTATAACTTAAAAAAATTAGATATTAATTAAAAAAATTTATAAAATAATTAATTAAAATATATTTTATTAATTAAATATATTAAGATCACAACTTTATACAATTTCGTCTCATATTATCGAAATAATTACAAATATTATTTTTCGATTACCAATAAAAAAATTTATAGATCGCATATTATTTTTCGATCATAAATCAAATATTTTATATGTAACAATTTATCTATCAGTCACAAAACACAAATTTTATAAGTTACAATTTATTTTACCATTAAAACTTATCAAATTAATTGGTCACAAGTTATTTCTCTATCATAACTTAATAAATTATGATTGGCAATGGCCTTTTTTAAGGTCACATTAATTATTGATTACAATCAACTAAGAGCATGTTTGGTAGAGATTTTAATCCAATTAACATCAATTTTTTGACTGTTATTTCACTATTACAATCGTCATTTTTGAATTCTTCTCTTATAAATAGGACCCACTTTATCTCTTTCGATCAGAAAATCAATTAACATAATCCATAACAAACAAGCACTAAATAAGTAGTCACAAACCACCGTAACAACCACAACCAGTACCACTGCTGAATCACCACCGCAGCAAACACCACAATCACCATCACCCAAACATCACCAAAAAATCAGATCCAAAATTATAACAGCCACAGCCCTAACCACACCAACACCATCGCCCTGCCGCCGTTGCCACCACCACTATCTCCACCCCCATCTTACAATCACGACCGCCATTGCCACCCCACCACTATCATCTGTACAAAAAATCACAACTACAATCTCATCTATATCCATCTCCATCACACCAAAACCACCACCCCCACCAAAAAAATCCCCAAACTGCAGATATTTCCCAATTCTTATCAGAAATAAACGAGAAAATGTGAATTTCATTCCTTGCATTTCTTCAACATACAAGAGTTCTATATATACACAAAAATAGGCGGCAAAAGGAAGAAAAAATGTGACAATCTATTACAACAAATTCCTAGCTGGACAAAACTAATTGTTAACTAATTAATATACAAAGAATAATATACAAAGAACCGAATATTCTGATACTCCCCCTCAAGATGTGCCATAAATGTCCTTTACACACATCTTGGATAATAGGAGATTAAGAGTGGAAGCAGGCAATGGTTTGGTAAAAACATCTGCAAGTTGATGATGAGAGCGAATGGGTAGAAGCTTTATAATCCCAGCTGTAATTTTATCACGGATAAAGTGACAATCAATTTCGATATGCTTTGTTCGTTCGTGAAAAACTGGATTAGTTGCGATTTGTATGGCGGCCTGATTATCACAATACAGATTGGCAATGGTTGCTTCATTGATTTGGAAGTCCTTCAGCAGCGGGTTGATCCAAATTACTTCACTAACTGTGGCTGCAAGGGCTCTGTACTCTGCCTCAGCTGAAGAACGAGAGATAGTGGGCTGTCTTTTTGATTTCCATGAAACGAGTGAGTCACCAATGAAAATACAAAAGCCAGTGGTGGATTTTCGCGTGTCAATGCATGAACCCCAGTATGCATCCGAAAATGCACGAAGGCTGATAGGAGCTGTAGAAATTTTTCGCGATGCAAAGAGAAGACCTTGTCCGGGACTTCCTTTTAAGTACCGGAGGAGATGATGAACTGCTTTAAGATATGGTAGCCTTGGCTGAGACATGAATTGACTCAGTTTATGCACCGCAAAAGTAATGTCAGGACATGAAAGAGTTAGGTATATAAGTCTCCCGACCAGTTTTCTATAGTGAGATGCATCTGATAGTAGTTCACCTTCTTGAATACTAAGTGATGCCTTGAGTTCCATAGGGCTGTTTGTAGGTTTACAATCTAGATAACCAGCATCCTCAAGTAGTTGCAATGTATATTGCCGTTATGAAATCACAATACCTGATGAGGACCGCGCAATCTCTATCCCCAAGAAATATTTCAAGCCTCCAAGATCTTTGAGTTTAAACTGAGAGTGCAGGAACAATTTTAATGAATTGATGACTTGGATGTTAGGGCCTATGATGACAATGTCATTTACCTACACTAATAAAGCCACAAAATTACAGTCAGATCCTTTAGTGAAAAGTGAATAGTCTGCCTTCAACTGAGTGAAACCATATTGGATGAGAGTGTGTGTAAACTTCGAATTCCATTGTCTAGAGGCCTGCTTAAGCCCATATATAGACTTGTGCAATTTGCAAACCATCTTCTCCCCCTGTCCAAGTGATTTATGGGTTTCATAGCCTGGAGGAAGTTCCATATAAACTTCCTCAAATAAGTCACCGTTGAGAAAAGCATTGTTGACATCTAATTGGGTCAAATGCCATTGATGGTAAGCTGCAAGAGTAAGTAAAACCTTGACAGTAACACTCTTTGCAACAGGAGAAAAGGTATCGAGGTAGTCCAACGCTTCTTGTTGTGTATACCCCTTTGCAACAAGGTGAGCTTTGTGTCTCTCGAGTGATCCATCTGAATTGAATTTGTTTTTGTAAACCCATTTACATCCAATAGAATGTTTCCCTCGAGGTAAGGGTACAACAATCCATGTGTGGTTAATCTCCATGGCTTCCAGTTCTGATCTCATGGCATCACGCCATTAAGGGATTTTGACAGCTTGATGGAAAAATTGAAGTTCAAAGTGGGATGAGATGTTGAGGATGAAATGTTTATGAGGTTTGGACAAGTGATTATATGAGACAAACTTCCTAATGTGATATGGAGTGTTGTGAATGGGATGATCAGTTTGCGAAATTAAATTACAATGATAGTCAACAAGATATTTTGGTGGTTTAGAGATTCTGTGAGATTTTCGAATGGCAAGGTTATCATCCACAAGAGGAAGCGACTGCTCAGGGTTAGCTGGAGTTGTGGAAGATAATGAGGGAGTGGTATGATCGAAGGTTTGGAGATTAGGGTCAAGTGTAACATGCTTCGAATGGGCAGATGATTCAACAGGAACAAATGATGAAGCATTTGGCAGTACCAGATCAGGAAAGGGGTCTGTCAATTCATCAGCCTCCACTATGGTATGAAAAGGGAAGATTTCTTCATGGAATACAACGTCCCTGGAGATAAAAATATGTTTGGTAGACACATCAAGTAATTTATATCCTTTCATTCCTGGTGGATATCCCAAGAATACACAAAGTCTTGCCTTGGTTGAAACTTGGTCCTGTGTGCAGCAAGTGTTGAGGCAAAACCCAAGCACCCAAACACTCTGATCATGGAATAATCTGCAGGCTGACCATGTAGTACTTCATAGGGGGTTTTATGTTGCAAAATTGGTGCTGGAGTTCTGTTGATTAAGAATGCTACCGTCATCACACATTCGGACCAGAATTTTATAGGAATCCTTGATTGGAAAAATAAGGCACGAGCTACATTTAAAAGATGCTGATGTTTTCGTTCTACCACGGAGTTTTGTTGTGGTCTTTCCACACAACTAAATTGGTGTAGCACCCCTTTTTCGGCAAAGAATTCATGGAAGGACAATTCATGTGCATTATCTGATCTAAAGCACTTGATGTTAGCACTATATTGTGTGGCTATCATGTAAAAGAATCAATGGACAACCTTTACAGCATCTGATTTCTGTCTTAACATGTATACCCAGGTGAATCTGGAACAATCATCTACTAGTGTCAAGAAATACCGGTATCCAGAGTGAGATGGGACATGATAAGGCCCCCATATGTCACAATGTAGGAGATCAAAGGGCTTACTGGATAATTTATTATTGGACTCAAACGACAATCTTCTTTGCTTTCCAATAGGACAAATGTAACATGGAAGATGTGTATTTACTTTCAAAAAATCACAAATGACATGTTCCTTCAAGGCTTCTAATCTCTTAAAAGATAAATGCCCAAGTCTATTGTGCCATATATGAGCTGAAACTTTTCCAACAAATGCATTAGAAACTGAATTGAAAAATCTTGTGTCAAGTACATATAGGTCTTGTACTTTGTCACCCCTGCCAATCATCCTCTTGGTCGCAGCCTCCTGGATTGTGAACTGGTCATGAAAGAAACTCAAGGTGAGTTGTGATCTAGCAGTTAAAGCACTAACTGATATTAGGTTGAATTTGAATTGTGGTACAAAAACACATCATGTAGCACCAAGGTAGAACTTAGTTTGACATCTCCACAAAGGCTGACTGGTATTTGTACATGGTTTGGCAAAGTGATGCTGGCATTTTCAATAGTTCTCATGGCCATGAATGCATCAGCACTACAGCATATATGTTTAGTGGCCCCTGAATCCATTATCCAAACTTCTTTAGTGGCAAAAAAGGAGTGCAGTGAAATGGAATGACATATACCTATCGAGTATGGAGAGCTATCTTTCTCCTGATCCACTGAAACGCTGTTCGAGCTTGAAGCCAAATGGTTGGACAACATTGTCATTAATTGTTGGTATTGGTTTGAGTTTAGGTTCTTGACAAAATTATCCATCCGTGGTGGTTGATCCAAGTGATTTGTCAACTGATTGATCGGATTAGTAATAGGTTGATTCTGGAAAATTTCCTTTGATTTTATTTTGTAACCAGGTGGGTATCCATGGATCTTATACCATTTATCAATCAAATGTCCATGGAGTTTACAATGTGTACAGTAGGGCCTCTCCCTTTTTCTGATATGCATCAAATTGGCAGATCTAGGACTCTCATTTGAAAATCCAGTGTTTCTCGTCGATCTTGCAATATCAGATTTCACGGCAAAGACTGCTGCACCGTTTGCATCATTTCCAAATGATTGTGCATTCAATTTCCTCTGATTTTCTTCCTGAGTGATCAACTCAAACACTTTGTTGATGGGTGGTAAGGGATCCATCAACAGAATTTGTCCCCTAGTCTGAGAGAACGATTCGTGTAGACCCATAAGAAAGTTCATGATATACTCCATTTGAAAATATTTATTCATTTCCTTAACTCCTCCACAACTGCATTTTCCACAGTTACAATTGGGTCTGAAATTGCTAACTCCTCCCACAACGTTTTGAGTTTAGTGAAATAAGTACTCACACTATTTTGATCTTGATTTAGATTTATCAGATCCTTTCTTAATTGGAAAATTCTCGGTCCATTGCTTTGCTGAAACCTCTCCTTGAGGTCGTTCCAAATTTCATAGGCTATACTTGCATAAATTACACTCGCTGAAATTTCCTTTGAGACGGAATTGAGAATCCAGGATATGACTATGTTATTGTTCCGAATCCAAGCATTATTCAGATCCGAATATGTGAATTCTGGTTCCTTCATAGAACCATCAATGAAGGAGAGCTTGTTCTTCACCGAGAGGGCAATGGTCATGGTGCGACTCCAGGAGCCATGGTTTTCTCCTGTAAGTTGCTGTGACACGAGCACTAATCCAGGGCTGTCTGAGTGGTGAAGGAAGTATGGGCTAGATGGATCATCAATGGAGCTTTTGCTAATAGATGATCGAATTTCAAAACTAGCTTCGGATTGTGTTGGCTCCATTAGAATTGAGTTGAAGGAAGTATAAAAAAACTTAAAGTAGGAGATGAAAGATGGAAAATATTAGCTCTGATACGATATCAGAAATAAACGAGAAAATGTGAATTTCATTCCTTGCATTTCTTCAACATACAAGAGTTCTATATATACACAAAAATAGGCAGCAAAATGAAGAAAAAATGTGACAATCTGTTACAACAGATTCCTAGCTGGACAAAACTAATTGTTAACTAATTAATATACAAAGAATAATATACAAAGAACCGAATATTCTGATAATTGTACTCGAACTTTCTTCCATGCTCAACAACAGGGTTTGATTGTACAAAGGGGTAGATATTGCAGGCACCGTGATGCATATGTGAACGGTTTTGATCACCACTGTCCAGCTTTTGGAAACTGTATAGGTAATAACGACTTTCCTGGGTCATCTGATACATTGTCTGGGAGATGAAACTATTGTAATCATCATACATTGAGTTCTAATTGAATAGATAATTGTAACGAGAAGTGATGTCCACGTGCAGGTCAAAAGAATCATTTCCTCTTTGTACTGATCATTACTGGATTTGTAATATCTGAGGCTTCATATGTTGCATGTGCATCTCTGTATAAGTTTGTTGTTTCTGCTCTGTTGATGTATCAAATAACCAAAAATACATTTATGAAAAGATGATTTGAATATTTGACAATATGGAAGGAAGGCGTGTTGGAGAAGAATTAGGGAATATCACGTAGGGAGAAATAAGGAAATAATATTTTAAATAAAAACACTTTAACAGATATGAGAAACTAGAAGGAGGGTTTCTTGGTTCAGCTTTTGTTCTTGTCCGTGCCATTGTAACCTCATCATTGTCCTCAGTATTCGTGCTTCTACAACTTATATTGTTCTTTGTTGTGTTAAGTGTACTTCTTTTATGTAGTGACTGGGAATGCTATAACAAGTTTCAGTAAGCATAATATCCCTCAACCTTGGCTTTAAAACAGTCCCTTTGTTTGATCTTTCCACATGAAATTGAAGGTTTCGCGTGAGAGGAATGTTGGAGCTTCTCCAACATTAGAAAATTAAAACCTTAAATTAGTGACCAATGCTTTTGCAATCCTTTGTAAAATGGAGTTTCCGAATGCTAGAAATAAAATTATGGATGTAAAATACTAAAATAATGTGGTTTGAAAGCAGTATGTATCTGGCCAAGACAATTTTTATTTGGGAGGGAATATGGCCCTGGTTTAAAATTCATATGGTTATGTTGCCCAAAAACACCTGTTTGTAGTCCTTAACATGTACAATTATTCTGATTGAAGAAAGTTCAACTCCTAAGGTATCCTTCATTGTTTTTCTTTTGTTTTTTGCCTGTTAATCTTTTCGTTGTTCTCCTGAATTGTAGTTGCTGCAAGATTTCAGACCTTGGATGGTATTAAAAGGGTGGTATGTTGTTACTTTCTAGTTTAATCCTCCTGTTGCACTTGTGATTGCATTATTTCTTGATCTATTCTTGTGTATGCACTACTATCTAGCTTTTTGTGACTGTACTTTTGCATGGTATAGTCTCAAAATGTTGTCTTTATGTTGATTCTGTAGACTGCTGCTTCGAGAAGTTTGGCCATTAGTACAATGTTGTTTTCTCTGTTTCAAGTTCTTTGGCAGGTGCCCCTTTTTTCTACTCCCTCTATGTATCAACGGATCAGGGTTTTTGAATGACGCGTTAACAGAAAACGTTGAGAGAAAAAATGGCTTATGTTGTCATCTGATAATAATTCTTGGTGAACTTTGTAGGTTGTCTTTCTTATGTGGCATTTGTATTGTGCATGTTTTAACATCAAAACTGATGAGTGCATGGGTAAATTCTATATTTATAAATTAAAAAATCGGATAAGGGATTTTACGCTCTTACATTTGGAAATTAAAGTACTTCCCATGTCTCTTTTGGGTTGAATCTAGGTCATGACGCGTTCTTCTTTTTTAATAATTTACACTTTATTTTAATTTTCTTAGGGACGGGATGGGGTTACCATCAATAAGAAGTTGGTAATGGATGGATATATGGAGGGATGTGAGATGGGGTAAGTTTTCCACATCAAGTACATGTTCGGATTCGGAGTTCTGGAAGTGAGTTTCATTTTACATATTTTGAACCTGGCCCTTGCTGAGTATTTTATTGGTTAATTGAGAAATAAGGTGCATATGAAAATGGAGAAATCTCCCTTGAATTTCATCCTAAAGACTATTTTATTCTGAACTGCAGTCTCCATTTAGATTTCTATCCCCCTTTTATGTAAGATCTCTTCAAAAGGATCATATATTTGTAAAGGAGATGAGTGTCAATCAAGGTGGAAAATCATACTGCGAGCTTGTTTGGCTAAGCTCAAAATATTTAGTTATAAAATAAGTTTACTTGTAAGTAAATAAGAAGTTTTTTAATGTATCTAATTTGGAAATAAATAAGCTATTGAAAGTAAGGCAAGAGTTAGCTTGAAAATATGTAATTTTTACTTAAAAAGTAAAGAAAAGGTAACTTGTTCAAACTGCTTGAAAATAAGTATAATTTTTACTTGCGAGTAAATAAAAAGGAACTTGTTCAAACATGTTTGAAAACAAACGTGTAGCGATGACAAATTTACTAAAAGCTGAAGTGTCCGGCTAAACTTACTATTATATTGTTGCTCTTTGTGATTCGGCCATTTGTTTATCCGAGTTCAGCCGATATATTGTGATTACTTGTGTTGTGTGGATGTATTTGGTGACCTAAAAATTCATTTTTGCAGATAAATTGGAAGACGTATCCAGAATTCCACGATAAGGTTCTCTCTGATGCAGGTAATTCACTAGAACTCTTTTCCATGATATGGTGTTATGCTCTAATTTTGTTCTTCCTCCCACCATTTTTGTCTTGGACAACCCCAAATTGGCCTTCAGTTGAAGAATCCACATGACAAGGGAATTCTGAGCAATCTGAAGGAGTCCCTGACAGCGAAAGGATAATGCTCATGTACCTTTTTGTGTATAACTTGTGTAGTTTTACAACATTAAACTGCTTCCTTAACTTGACCAGGCGGGTACATGTGGATCTCTTGATGAGGGGCGAAAGTTCACAGGTTCACGATCGATGATATTATCGTGTCTATAGTATATTTACATATGATTCTTGATTAGGGGCAATAGTCAGCCTGAATCGGGTCGGGCTGGATTGTCAATTTTTTACGAAAATGTAAACCTGTCTTGAAAATAGCGGCCGAGCTACTGGGCCGCTTGAAGAAAAATTGTGCTAGCCCGACGCGGCCATTTTTACCTGGATGATGGATATTAGAACAAAAAGGATGTTAGATGAACAAGTAATAGTACACGTGCATGTTTGGCAAAGCTTAAATTATAGTTTAAACTAATCGAATATATTTGTTATTCACGCATTTCATAAAATCAATAATTTATAATCACTTAAAAGCATACCCAAACATACTCCAATTGATTCTTCAATGGAAGTTCTTGAAAGCAAGGAATAAGCTTATATTCAAGATTTGAAAATAAAATCTCTGAATGAGTATTTCCCTTCTATGAGTGCTTTTTTCTCTTACATCCTGAAAATTGACAGGCATTATTGTATGTAAGATCTGTTACTTGTGTGGTGTCCCATCAGCATAAGTAATGTAGAAGTCGTTTCTTGATCGTCTCTTCTAAGTAACAGTGAAACCATCCATTCTAGCATCTTCATCTTTATTAGGAGTCTCCTACATCATAAAGTCAGATTAGGTCCCATTGTAACTAAAAAGCTACCACATCAGACTCTTCAATTATCATACAGAGACTTGCCGTGGCATCGTCGGACTGATTGTGGCCATATCCCGACAAGGATCAATTTATTTGAAATTGAAATAAAGATAAACCTACTTATACATAATTTTTTGTACATTAAAGTATCCATACACTCACATGGGATGGAGCCCACTCTAATATTTTGTTCGAATGAACCCCATCGCATATGAGTATGGGATACCTTAATATATAAAAAGTTATGTACACCAAAAAAAACCCTTGAAATAACTCCACTGAAGGCGGCCCCAATGGGAGGACGATTCGAGGAGGACGTATTCGATTGTGTTTAGAAGCTGCATATCTAATAATCGAGTTAAAATAATGCCATCTATTGCTTGTGTAGATCATTGTTATTGCATTGTAATGTCACCTAAACTGATGATGACCGTCGATTTGTATAAAATTGCTATTTTTGCAAATCAAGATGTTCAACTTTTAGCTTTTGTGGCACTTATTGTTTACCTTTCAATCATAATATATTATTTGAACTTTAAAATGTGTATTTGAGTACTGGTTATAAATAAATAAAAAAGAAAAATATAAAATTAGTCCATCCTATCCGGTCTCGAACATCAGATTGCATTTAGACGAAGCATTTTATCCCACACCAGATGTCACCTTCAGACTTCAAGTCCACCAAAGGGCACCACCGCAGCCATCTTGTTTCAAAGTCACTAAGTCAAACAGCCTTTTTGACCTTAGGAAAATAAAGCAAAGGAATAGGCATAAAACAAGAAATTAACAAGGGGTACACGTTTCAATAACACCAAAAAAATATAAAAGAAGTAAAAGCATCTCATGATAATAGTCGCAGCTACCTTTTTTTCCAATAGATGGTAATCTTCAAGCACGATAACTTAACTCTTAAATATAATCAACTTTTTTGTATAATAATCATGATTGTACCTATTCATACTATCAACTTTTGAGAGAGTACATGCTCATCTAGATTCTCAAGGATTTCTCTCGTGTTTTCTTCACAACTTAAGACATCAATCTTATCGACACTTTAAGTTGAATGTAGAACCAAACTAGTAACTTGCTAGAGACATTAAATAAATCTATGTAGAACCAATCGAGTAACTTGCTAGAGACATGAAATAAATCTACGAGCACAAGGTGAACACAGACCCTTATAATAAGGCTAAAACCCCAGAGGAATCCCAATCGCTAAAATTAGGAACTCGGGTAA